CTCTTAGTTTAGAAAGTTTTTAAGGGCCGATTCCACCATTTTGTGTTAAATGAAGTTTAAATTATTAAGCGAAGATTAAAATGACATTGTTAATGTAAAAATGTCATTTTAAACCAGGTTTATTTCTTAACTACTAGCGGTGAAATTAGGCCTAAAAACAATAACCTCTCACATTTTGACCAGGGCTGGTCTCATAATTAGCGCGGCAGAGACATCTCGGTGCAAATGGAATGGACTTATAAAATTGTTTTGCTTCATTTCGATCGAAGAAACATTAATATTTTACTTGTGTTTGAATTTATATCAATCAATGAACAAATAAAAAATGTTACCAACGTTTAATGACTTAATTCCAGTTTTTTTTATGTTCACTAATGAAAAGCTATTAAAAATAACAAAATACTCAATTTCTAACGACAATAAAATATAATAATTTTATTGTATAATTTAATACTTGTACGATCAATAACATTATTTTTTTTGCAGACACCATAGGCGTGCGGATATTTTTTTACAGCCTATTTACCTATTTTTTGAAATATACACGTTATCGATAATTTTGTAACGGAACATTTATACTATCTTTACTACTATCTTTCGAAACTCTTAGCTGTTTATTAAGCTTAAATTTTACTTCATTATGATTCAAAGTTAGAAAGACCTATTTATATTAGAAAACGTTTCAAATTATATAAAAAGGTTAGTCAAAACTGCAAAATTTACTTTACAAAATCTAAAAGGAGGTAATTATGTACACTTCCTAAAAATATTCATTTTGTAGATACGACCTCTTGTCTTAGCAGGGCAGTTTAGCTTAATTTTTCATAATTTAATTCCATAATTTATTTCGTTTCCTCAGAATATCTTTTTGTTTATATTTTAGATCGTATTTTTAATCAGGAGATTAAATAAAAACCTAATAAAACAATTTACAAGTCCAACACATCATGTTTAGGTGAATTGAATATAAATTTTATCTAACACTTAGTTGTTGGTAATTATAAAATTATAAAGTGTAAGAGTGAAAGATATAACTAAGAAGTTTTATGAATTTCTCTTAGGCGAAACTTAATTCAAGTTCTCGCTAGAAATGTATCACGCGGATATAGATATTAGAGGTCGAATCTCATAATAGATGAGAACAAGAAACATTTTATGGCTATGATTACTGAGGTATTATAAAAAAATTATACAGCGCGTAATATGTTTTTATTGTTTTTTTTTACGATAATGTTAAAACAAGGTTGGCTACTTTCTGGAAAATAAGGAAAAGTTAGGAATGCGAATTGCTTATTAAAATCAGCGAGTCAGTCAAAAAAATATTTTAATTTGAATTTAAATCTTTATGTTAATCCCTATATTATACAAAGTGTAACAAAAAGATAGGTCATGAAATATACCAGATCTTCTGGAATCTATATATTTATAGAAGTGTTTGAATGAGTAGGATGGTCTATTGTGAATCTCATCTTGTGTAACTTATAACTCACATTAAAAGACACATCTTTTGATGAAGGCAATGGACAAAAAAAAAACGAAAAAAAAAAATAAACTAAGAAAAACGGAAAAACGGAAAATGGAGTATATTAACGAAAAAAACGAAAAATACGAAAAAACCGATAAAAAAAAGAAAAAACTAAAAATACGAAAAAACCGTTAAAAAAAGAACAAACGAAAAAACCAATAAAAAACGAAGAGCGAAAAACAAACAAGAGGAAAATTGAAAAAACGGAAAAAATTAAAAAGTAAAAAACGTAAAAAAACGAAGAAACGGAAAAAACGAAAAACAAAACGGAAAGATAACGAAAAAAGCGGAATAAAAAACGAAAAGAAAACGAAATAAATGAAAAGACGAAAAACAAAAACAAAAAAGAAAAAAACGGAAAAACGAGTAAAGAAACGAAAAAAACGAGAAAACGAAAAAAACGAAAAACCGATAAAAAACGAAAAAACCGGGAAAAAACGAAAAAAAAACAAATAAAAAACGAAAAACCGAGAAAGAAGTAAAAATGATAAAAAAACGGAAAAAAATTAAAAAAGCGAAAAAACGTAAAAGAAACGGAAAAAACGAAAAGAAAAAAACGAAAAAACAAAAAACCGATAAAACACGAAAAAACCGGGGAAAAACGAAAAAAAAAAACCAAATAAAAAACGAAAAACCGAGAAAGAAGTAAAAATGATAAAAAAAAAAACACTAACTGAAAAAAATTTAAAAAGCGAAAAACGTAAAAGAAACGGAAAAAACGAAAAAGACGAGAAAAACGAAAAAGACGAGAAAAACGAAAAAAAAAAAAAACGAAAAGAAACGAAAGAAAAAGGAAAAAAAAACAAAAAGTTAGTTTCGATTAAGGAACGGGTAGCTAAAGAATAAAGAAACCAGTGCACCTTCTAAGTGAATTAAAATTGTATCCTCGTGATTGAAATTATCTACGAATGAACGAAGAAACGTATTTGCAATTTACTATCGTCTTATGTGTTCTGTGGAAATTGTTATGGAACAACATAGATCATAGAATAAAAGCTATGTGTTGTTCCATGACAATTTCCACAGAAAACAACGATTTTCACATAATAGATTTTAAAGCATTTGCAATAAGAAGCCAATTACTGAGGCCCTCTTTATGGGGCCTCAGTATTGCATTCGTGCAGACGAAAATATTTTCTTACCACCATTTCTTAAAACTTTTTTTCATGTTTCCGATCATTTTGAGTCCGAAAATGTAAAAAAAAATCGTCTGGTCGCCTGTGTGTATGTATGCCGTCACGATAACTATAGAACGAAAGTTCTGATTGACTTGCGGTTTTGATTCTCTTGAATAATTAATTCTAACTTAGAACCCTATTGATTTTCAAAATCTTCGGTTTATCCTAACTACTTGAATATAATTTTTCTTAAAATCCGCCTATGCATTTCTTATGTGACAATTTTAGGAATTCCAATCATTTCTAATGTCTAACATTCCTAACATTCTCTAACGACCTGTCAAACAACAGCTGCTGATAGTAAAGGTGAGATTTCTAAAGCGGGTTGCGATCTTCATACTTGCAACCATAGCCATTTTGGAGGCTATTTTTATTCTAAATTAGTCGCCAAACCTGCCAATTTATGAAAAATATACAAGCAGTTTCTTAAAAATGACTTTTTTATGGTGGTGTTAACTTAAGCGTACTACTATTTCGCCCCTAGCCACAAAAACACCTTCATCAAATTTATTGGCTCTCTGTCCCAACCCTATAGAATAATTAACCGGCCATTTTATTTGGCAAAAATTAGAATAATGCTTGGCTGTGCCTGTCAAGTATCAAGATGTCATCTGTGATGTGTGAATGGCTCTTAAATGTCAAATTATTTTAAAATGTATGCTTCTTTTCATATTTATTGCCAATAATTTGTAGTGAATTTCAATTCAGGCTTTCCATAAATAAAGGTACAGCAGGACAGATAATATAATGTTCTTATACAAAGCTATCTTTTATTATATAAAAGAGAGGTAGGATTCTATAGGTAGGATATAATGCCGGTTTTTTGTAGATAATTTTAGCTACACGATTTTGGATTACATTAAGGGGTTGAAGTGCAATATCATATAGTTCACATTATACCATATCGCAAAATAGATTCAACCAGCGAATTGTAAATAATTAGTAAACTCCTAGTCATAAATTTCCTCAATTCATAAAATTTAAAAATTAATCTACTTACTTTGGAATTTTAATGACTTAATATGATCAACCCATTTCAAATTTTGATCAACTATAATACCGAGTTATTTTATTGTGTTTTTCATTTTAATTATAAAGTTGTCATTTATTTGTATGTTGAAAGAAGGCTTTTGTAATTTACATTGCTCTCGATGGATCTACTTTACACACAAATAATGTTGTGGCTATAAGTTGCTATAACTTATCGTCGCAAAACTATTATTAATAATTTAAACATAGCAAGTAGTATTAATATAACATCAAATCATTTTTTAAAATAAAGTACATGATCTTTAACAGAAATAATTTATAAAAAATGCGGGTAAAATAAGAATAAATTAAGGGAAATACTTAAAAAGGGCAGGTTTAAAGAGTATTATCACAAGAAAGTATATCCGTTCTGTTTATTTATCAAGAATTGTTTGATGTTACTTTTGAATACATTTATACATTTATTGTTGTTTTTTATTTAATTTCTGAAGGCAGTCTATTAAATTTTTTAAACCTTTAATAAAAATTGTATTTTGGGAACTTTTTGTGATGGCTTGCCGTACATGAAAGTCAGATTAGCTTCTTGTGTTATAGTTGTGATATTTCGAATTATATTGAATTTTTTCTAATAGATCTGATGCCATGGTAATATGTCATTTTTATTTTATAAATAAATATCTGTCATGTACTGAACATAATTCTGAACCGAAAGCCAATTTATTTCTTTTAAGATAGTTGCAATACTCATCCTTCTGTCCCTTTTTAATAGAATATAAATAGGCGAAGTAAGGAGCCCAAATATTGTACATGAGCAGGCTTAAGAGGCAAAGGGGCCAATTACAATTGGATAAATTGCTCGAACAAGTTTTTAAACCCTAATCAAAAGGCGATATAGAATGGTTTTAAAAATGAAGGCTTGTGAAAATCACATAGTTTATTTAACCTAAGTAATGCCAAACCAAAAAATTCAACGTCCTAATACTAATATCGGCTTTCGGTCTTTCGTTCCAAGTTAAATCACTTCTCGTTTTTGTTACGCTACGAGTTTATCCTTGTGGGACTCAGTCTCGATAAGGTGGGAACCACCATATTAGCGTCTCTCGAATTTTGCCAAAACCTTTGTAACATATGTTACTTTCCTTTCTACATTGTTCATCTATTCTGTAGTTAGAGAGTTGAAACTAGATTTCTATCGCTGCTCTCTTTCCTTTGTATACACTGCAATACCTGTTGTGGTATTAACCAAAGTAATAATTGTTTTCCGAAGTATTTATTTTATTTTCTATTATTTTAAATATTTTTTTTAGACTGTGAAAGCTTTCTTGCCAAAAATGATAGAAAAGGACCACGGCCATATTGTTACCATAGCCTCTCTTGCCGGCCATCTTGGCGTGAACAAACTCGTCGATTATTGCTCCTCGAAATACGCTGCCGTGGGTTTCGATGAAGCCCTCAAGGCAGAACTGGACGCACAAGGCGTCAAAGGAGTAAAGACTACAGTGATTTGTCCCTATTTCATTCAACAAACTGGGATGTTTGACAACGTTAACTCGAAATTTTTCCCCAAATTGAAAGCCAACGACGTAGCCGATAAGACGATCGAAGCATTGAGGAAAGAATACAATGTTGTTATCTTGCCTGGTTATTTGAGGTGGCTCTTGCCATTGAAACTGTGAGTATCTATTTTTTTATTATAATAATAATTATAACGACCTGTCAAACAATAGCTGCCTGAGGGAAGGACTCGTATATCTAAGGGGGTTACGACATAGCCTTCCATCTTAGACACTACTTTTATTCAAAATAGTAGTCGCCAAGCCTGCCAATTTATGAAAAATGTATAAACGGTTCTTTAAATAATATTTTCATCATGTTCGACATAAAATATTTAAATTTAATCCATAATACATGATTTCATGTATTATAGATAGAGAATACATCGTATGTCGCAACCCTTTAGACTTACCAACAGGGATCCCAGATGTACTGAGCCTAAATTCGTGAGCTTGATCGTGTAAAAATCGTGAGAAATCGTGAGCTTGTACTACGCATGCGCAGTTTAGCTAAATATATATACAGGGTGTTATTGAAATACACGTACATATTAAAACTGGGTATTGCGCAGATCCCCACTGAATGTAGAAAAATATTATTTTTTAAAAATACCCCTTATTAAGGGAGTTATTAATTTTTGAAAATTAATTCTAAAACAAACGTACTTCACTGATATGTTGAGGATGACCTATATAAATTAGGTTTATTTACCTATTTTAAACATCAACAGTAATTAATATGCAAGTTTTTGTCAGATGATAAGAAAACTAGTCTTGTAAGAAATAACCATGTTGCCAAGATTTTCGAATTAATTTCTATTTCCGAAGGCTGGTTTTTACTACCCTCGTTATCAAAAAACTAGAATATTTGATAAATGATTGTTTTTAAACTATACATTTTTGAAACTATAGATCATTAAAATTTTAGTTGATTTACGAATCTGGCTAACACGAGCGCGTCATTTCCAAGTTGGTAAAAAGTGTTGTTACGATTACTTTTAAATATTTTTTTACGATGCCACTATTTACGAATATTGAACTAACGGATATAGTGCTGGTTTATGGGGCAGCTGGAGAAAATTCTCGGCAAGCACAAATCCTGTAACGCGAACGGTTTCCAAATCGGAGAATTCCGGACTGTCGTACGTTTATTTCAACTGTTCAGCATCTAAGAGACCATGGAAAATTTGAGAGTGTCAATGCAGATCGAGGGAGAACAAGAACACAAAGAACATTGGCGGCCGAAGAAGAAATATTGGAAGCTGTTGAAAACCGGCCTCAATTAAGTTGTAGAAGACTAGGTCTTGAAATTGGAGTGTCCTCATTTGTTGTGTGACGGACACTTAAAGAACAAGGTTTACATCCTTATCACATCCAAAAAGTCCAGGCCTTATATCCAGGTGATGAAGAAAAGAGAGTGGAGTTTTGTGAATGAATGATTCAAAAATGTGTTGATATTCCTGATTTTCTAAAAATATTATTGTATACTGACGAGGCTTCATTCACTCGTGATGGCGTGTTCAATATGCACAATACGCATATTTGGAGTGATGAAAATCCTCACGCCATTAGGGAAACTGGGCATCAAAGAAAATTTTCAATAAATGTTTGGGCTGGCATAATAGATCAGTATTTAATCGGGCCTTATGTTCTCCCGAACAGATTAAATAGGCCAGGATATCTCCACTTTTTAGAAGATATTTTGCCAGTACTCCTAGAAGAGATACCGTTACAATTAAGGCAACGGATGTGGTACCTACTAGATGGCGCTCCTCCTCACTTTGATTTAAACGTACGGCAGTTTTTGAACATTAGATTTCCTCAAAAGTGGATAGGCAGAAATGGACCTACTAAGTGGCCTCCGAGATCTCCGGACTTAAATCCATGCGATTTCTTTTTGTGGGGTCACATGAAACAACTGGTTTATAATGAACCTATTAATAGTGTTGAACAATTAACCAATAAAGTTAATGCGGTAGCCGAGGAACTACGACAAAATCCAAGACTAATTTCTAATGTTCAAAGTTCTTTGGAAAGACGATTGCAAGTGTGTGTAAATAATAATGGACGGCATTTTGAACAATTACTGTAATAAACTTTATTTTGAATTAATTGGTTTTGCTACGGCAACAGTGCAATTTCTATGGGTAAGTTCAATTTCGATTTATTTTACTTCTTTAAATATGGAAACTAGTAGCTCGGAAAAGGGGACTCTTCCCCAATATTCAAATTTTAGAATTTGAAGTTAAAATTGGTGCCAATCGTTTTTGGTCATTACATACTATTCCCCATTTTAATATGTACGTGTATTTCAATAACACTCTGTATAGTATTTTCGATTTTGATGAACTTTGTTCGAGCGAAGAGCAAGGAATGACCGACTTTTAAATCTCAGTACATCTCTATCGATAGTGTGTTACTATCGAAAACTATCGATTGTTCGATAGTTTAAATTTACATGTTTTTAGTAGTTTTTAAATTCATTTTCACGCAATTCGATCAAATAAACTAAAATTATAAGAATGCACTCAGCAAATTCAGCACTATAGATGATAAATCTATTTTAAAGATTGCCCTAACTAATTTGTTAACATACGCACGCCACAAATGTGACTCCTGCCTCCACATGTTTTCTTATGTCTCTGCTTACCTACTGGTGCATTTTTTTATTTCAAATATTATTTTTTTTTTTTTTATAAATAAAATGTATTACTTTAGTGCAGTGCTCCGCAACCTTTCCTCATCTGAGGCACACCAAACTGCTCCCTAGAATTTCGTGGCACACCAAAATCTAAAATATATTTATAGCAGTGGCGTAGCTAGGTCGGGGGTCAGTTCACTCCATGTATACTAATTATTTATGGATGTCCAAACTACCTTAGTTTTTTTTATTGTTTTAAAATGTGAAGAAGCCCCTTTCAGATTTGGGGCATCAAAATTTTCACTCAGGACAAAATACATATTTTTTTTTTATTTTTTTTTATTATTCAGATAGAATGAAAAATACAAATAGGTACATACATGAGAACTATACTAAATACTAGGTAGGACAGGTAGGTATACTAAATTTACTTCTGTTGACACGTCAATAGTAATAAATATTTTGACATGATGATGACTGATTAATGTGATACCTGCGCTTGCTTCGTTGAACACAAAAGTTTTATATTCGGCTCAATTTTAGACAGCGCAACTCTCATTTCTTGGTCAAGATCTTTTAAGCATGACCGTTTATCATTTTTAATTAATACAAGCGTTGAAAAACTTTGCTCACATAAATATGTTGTGGAAAACGGAAGTAGTGTGAAGATGGCCTTGTCGGTGATGCGTGGATATTCTGTCTTGATGGAAATCCAGAAAACATCTAACGGAACTTCGTCGAATTTAAGTTTTAGGGTCATATCATTACTTAATTATGTGAACTCCTCTCGAGTTTGCAATGGCAGTGCTTCCGTGGAACTTATTGCATTGGTTGCGAAAGGATTTCGAATCCAATTGTATTGTTCCGTGTTGATAGAATGGAAATAGTATTCAAATTTTTGTTGAAGCATACTTAAATGTTGTTGGGCCAAATCCACAATCAACTGCTTGTTTTCGATCGTACTGTGGTTGGTCCTGTGATACATTTCTAGACATCCTTTTTGCAACTGTTCCTGCCAAAGTTCAAGTTTCTTTTTGAACCCTTGTAATTTATCGGAGCACGTCAATATATTTTCATTCCGTCCTTGCATTTTTTTATTAAGTTCATTCAGATGTTCGAATATATCCGCCATGTATGCAAGTTTGACTATCCAGTATTCATCATGAAGGTGCTGGCATAGATCGTACATATCTTAACTTGAAAGAAACTCACGCACTTCGTAGCGAAGTTCAAACAGTCGAGCTAAAACTTTTCCCCGGGATAACCAACGAACTTCTGTATAAAACAATAAGGATTCATGTTCGCTTCCCATTTCTTCACAGAGTATTCCCAAAATATCACTTGACATATCTTGGGTACGTCTTTTAACAGTATCGGCCGACAAAGAAACTTTACTCACGTCCTTAACTTCGTTTGGCCCAAGCATAAGTCTAACAATTTCCATGCATGCTGGTTTAATAAGCGTTTCACCGATAGTGTGCGGTTTTTTTTGTTGTGCAATTAATTTTGCAACAAGGTAGCTTGCTTCTAATGCCTTTTCAGAAACCGTAACCGCCGATTTCATAAACTGCTTTTGTTTCTTATTTTGATCCAAGCGCCGTTGGAAAAATTGAATGTCTTTTTTGACGCAACTGGGATGATTTGTGATCAAATGACGGTTTAGTTTGCTGGGTACCATTGCTTCATTTGACAACTGTTCACCGCAAATGACGCATTCAGGCTTTGGAGCCGCTTCGTCGCCACACCAAGTGAAACCATATCGAAGGTAGTCTTGATTGTACTTCCTTTTCAGCACCTTTTTTGCTCTTTTTGCAGCACTTATGCTGGAGCTTGTGCTAGGTTCTTCGTCATCTGCTCGTGATTTCAGCAAAAATTTATCCATATTTGAAGCACTATAGTTATTTATAAAAGTAGATACTGCAACAAAACTTAGTCCAGTTCACTTATTTATAAGGCACAAGAATTTATTTATATAGCAATTCACTATTTATTTCACTCTACGATTTATTTGTTTGCCCGCGTATTTATCTGATTCACTTGACTATTCGACTCTCTCTGAGTCTCTGAGCGACGACAGGCGCGCTTATATAGGCAGTGGCGATGTTCAGGAAAACATCGAGTCGCGCCTCGAACGGCACGGATCTTTCTAGTTTAGTCGCCTTCGAGAATCAAGCCGCCGCGCCGCGCCGATAGACGGATAGACGTTTACCATCGGCGCTGTTGTCAGATTGCTTTATTTTTCGCGGGTCTCGCTACAATACGAATCTGATTCGTATTGTCTGCAAGAGCGGCACACCTCAAGTCGGCTTACGGCACACCAGTGTGCCGCGGCACACCGGTTGCGGAGCACTGCTTTAGTGTACTACGTATCAACCGTTGAATCAACGTTGGAATAGTTTCGATAGTACTATTACTATTGATAGTAATTCTTGAGACTATTAAAAATATTGATAGGGCCAGATATGGAAAGTATCCGACCATTTTCTGGGGACTGTCTAGTGTCGTCCGTCATTATCAGCCAACGCATTAGCACGTTCCTGGGTTGGACTTTACAGCATAATTCAATTGTTTGATTAATTAAAAAGAATCGTTTTACATAAAAACTTAAGGTTCGCTACTGCAAGCAGCTTGCTAAAAAATATCGTGAGATTCAGGCGCATTATCGTGAGATCGTGAGACTCAGTACTAAATCGTGAGATCTCACGATAAATCGTGAGATCTGGGATCCCTGCTTACCAACCCTATAAACATAAAACATTACCAGTTTTTTTTTGTAACGTTTCTCATGGAGACTTTTCTTAATATATTTTTAAAACAATGCTAAAATATCCCATAGATGATGTTTAAATTTTAACATCATATTCATTAACATTCCTCGCATATATCTACAAATGAAGTTTTATGTACGCTGGAATACTTCAATTAGCAGTTACATAAACATCTTTTGTACTTCTTTTTAGTTACTTCATGTGACTAACATTTATACGATGTTAATTTGTATAATTCACAATAATATTGCATACAGGTCAGTACAGTAATGTGTATACACATCTTTAAGATGGCTATCTTTAGTCTTTACATCGCAGACCTGGCAGACCTAACAGTTCGTCTCGCGTTCATAGATGGAGATACCAATGATCGCTTGCTACTTACGTAACTGGTAGTACTGTATTAGGGAGGAGTCTGATGCTCAGTGTTAAGTATTTCATCAAAGTTCTTACTTTTACCTTTGATATTGATTTAGACCATTGTATTCATATTGTTTCTGTAAAATTTCCTGGGATTGGAATAGAAGTTTAACTTGTCTTATAAGCTTTTAGCTCCAAGTTTATTTACTTCTATTATATTTTATATAGATGAAATATATAATATATTTTATAGTCCATATAAAATCTAGTTAAAAATAAAAAGGTATGAACGTCACATTTAGTTCATTAATAGGATTTTATTTTATAACATCTACAAGAAGTAAAAAGACTTTCTTGGATATAACAGAAATAACAATCTATCATAAATGTTTATGTTGGTTCATCCCGCGAAAAATAACTTTTTATCTTCATTATTTATTTATGCAAATTTAATTGAAATACACAAACATTTATGTCTGCTACCATACATAGTCATTCACATAAGACACGAATTGCTACTTATGTTAAAGGTCCGTGATATAGATTATCAAAATCAGAACATAATTCAATTTTTATTTAATCTGAATACATAAAAACCTTGTCACACAAAATACAAAAAATACTTTGAAAAACTTACTTGAAAGAATTGTATTTTATTCAGTTTTAGAATTCCAGGATTATATATTTTTTTTTGTGTCATCGGCTTCAACTGCTTAGGTTATTTCGCTTCGTGTTCTGTGTAGGCTTTGTTACTGTTTCCCAGCGCCACTTTAGGAACAGCACTGTTAATTAGAACCCAACAGTGAATGGTCGAGTGGGGAATCCTACCAAGGCATCAGAATTAATTTTAAATAATTAAATTAAATGAAAAAATTCCTGCCAACGGTGGGATCAGAACCTGGGACCCTTGGATCCACAGGCAGAGACCCTACCACTGAGCCACCCACCCCGTCCAGGATTATATTAGAAGAGAATTGCCCATTGAGTTTCATAAACATTCATCCAATCACTGAAATAATATAAATTATGTCCAGTAACTAGTATTAGTGTAAATGTATGTTGTTTTTGTTTTTTGTTTTTATGAGTGTGTACATAGGTGTTTGTATTATGAGGTGAATGTATGCTGTATTCAGATTATATATTTTATTTAATTCATATTAAGTTATTCTTTGTTATATTCTGTTGTGACTTATTGTGACCTGCTGTTAATCTTTTTTTTTTGTAGTGACAGTTAATAAAATTCTATTCTGTGCGTATCTTTATGCTGGCCTTTTTATACCCTATTTCATCTATCGTTCGAGAAAAGGTAGACCCGTGGCTGCCCTTCTTGGCCTCATATCATCTTCTGCAAATCTTTTAATTGTTGCTGCGGACTTGTTCTAAAGTTATAGCCCTCCAGCACTTCACAAATTCAATTTGCAAAGAGGTTCTGGTCACAAACCTTTACCTTAATGTTCGGGTAAGTAGAAAACGATCTTGGTCATGGTTTGTAACTGTAACTCTTCCTCTACCCTGACCTGGACTTTATGTGTTGTTATCTATTTCGGTAAACCGTCTCAGAACTCTGGAGATTGTTGATTGATTCACATTGAATCGTCTAGCCAGCTGAGCTTCTTCACAAAGAGTAACGACTCTAATGCAGTCAGATTTGGATAAATTACGATTTTTATATTTTTTGTCGATCCATTTTATGCAAAAACAATGAATAAAACTTAAAATACCTGTAATATTTTGAGATTGAAATAAAACAACTATTATATGGTTCTTTTTAAAATAATGCGTTAATTTTGACGCGCAGTGTAGAATAAAATTAAAGATCACTTTCAGTCGATTGGATTAACACCCCTTTGAACATCCTTTATTGATTTTGTTTTATTTTTTTCAGAATTATGCCATGGTCTGTCGTGTCGAATTTTTTGAACAATATGTTACCAGATGCCTCACCACATCACCAACCCACACCGATAGTACAAATCGAGGAATCAGAAGAATCTTTGCCTCACAAAATCGTTAATAGTGTCAGTGCCTCAGTTTCACAAACTAAACCTAGTTTAGATAAACAAGGGAAAGACCTGTAAACACATTATTTGATAAGACCAATTTACATTGTTAATAAAATATTTTTATAGTTGTGCTGTTGTGTTTTAATTTCATATCTTTATATGCATTCCTGTGATGTATAAGAGAGCCGCGGCAGCTCTTGGAGCACCGTAATATTCAAGCTATTATTTTTATTTTATTTTATTTATTTACAGAAAATCTCCTTTTACAAAATAATTATTCAGTAGATATTTTAAACCTAACCTAAAGTATCACGCAAAAAAAACTTAAATATCACAAAAAACTTAGAGCTAAAGCTAACTCAATAAGTACTCCCTCAGCTGATTTTTAAACCTAAACCGACTAACTCCCAAAAGATCAGTGTGTCTGTTAATTTAATTTCCTTGCCTTTGAAATCTGGTTAAAGGACTGTTGAGTCCGTAGTTCGTATGATGGAAGCTAATTGAAAATAATGGATTCTCTCTAATATTTGTGTTGTTTAACCTAAAGTTTATTAGCTCCAACATATCCGGACAAGCTATATTCCCTTCCAGGAGGTTATAAAGAAATAAAATGTAGGCACAGAGAATTCTAATGATAGATCACATGTGTGGGACAAATGTCAAAAAACTATCGAAGATCACACCTAGATCCTTGATTTCACTAACTTTCTCCAACAGTAGAATTGATATTATAAAGCAAATTTATAGGGTTTTTTGATCTTGTGAAGGTGATTGAAAAACATTTACGTGGATTTAAAGACATGGAATTATTTAAAGCCCAATTAATAAAATGGTTTAAATTATCCTGTAACTTCAGTCAGGTAAGTTTAAGATTTCCATGAATAATTTCAGGTCATCGGCGAATAGTAGGAACTTACTATATTTAAATCCTGAAGCCACAAGTTAATAAATATATTAAATAGTAATGGTTCCAAATGAGATCCCTGGGGGACACCTGAACTTACATTTATTGGAATCGAAGTAAAACTTTTAACTTTGACATACAGAACCCTGGATTGCAGGTAACTTTCTAACCATTTCACTAAGTAGTTTGGAAACCCGAATTTCACTAGTTTCCTTAAAAGCAAATCATGGTTCACCGTATCAAATGACTTCGAGAAGTCAGTGCAAATTGAGTCAACCTGACACCCCCTCTCGAAGGCAGAAATGATAAAATGTTCGTAGAGCAGTAAATTTGTATTAGTAGACTTATCTCCCATAAACCCATGCTGTTGTTCAATCAAAATGTTTTTGCAATGTCATGACAAAGGTTTATATAACAATAATCCTAATAATTTAGGTATTGCAGGAAAGTAAAAATACAGGGCGATAGTTAAGTAAGTCATCTTTTTGACCATTTTTAAATATGGGGGTAATGAAACTATCACGCCGTTTTGCAGGAAACTATTGTAATTTCAAAGAGGAATTAAATAAAAACTGTAGTGGTTTGGAAAGAGTGAATTTACATTTTTCAAAAAATAATCAGGGATTCTATCTGGACCATAACTCAATTTATCTTTTAGGGAGTTAATACCATCATAAACGTCACTTAAGGAAAACTGTATAAAGGGAGTATCAGGCTGGTTAAAAGCATTATAATGAAGGTTTGGCTCATCTACAATATCTTTCTTATAAACACTGAAGAAATGCGTAGCAAACAAATTACTGATGTCTTTCCCATTATCAGCAATTGTACCATTATAATACATTCTATTGGGAATACCAAGGTCTTGTTTTAAAGAATTAATGTGGTTCCTGAAGTATTTTGTATTTTCACAAACCTTCAGATCTATACCAGAAATATAATTTTCATAATTTAGTTTTGATAAATTTTTACATTGAGACCGAAGGTTACAAAAATTTAAGTAATCAACAGCTGAGCGAGTACTTTGACTAAAATACCCTCCCAATTAATTGGAGCAAAATAATTATTTAAAGCAACATAATCCGCTTCTTTAAAGTCATAAAAAACAATGTCACAAGACAGTTAATTCACATGAAATTGCAACATGGTGGAAGTTATTAGGCAATAAGATGTCTACAGCTGTCTCGATAATAACCGAATTCATTATTACAAAAACATAAGTCGAGGAATATACCGTGCTGATTTGGAATTCCATTGGCCTGACTCAAATTTCAAGTAGGAAAAACTCTCACTAATTATTACGGTTGGATATTCTGCAGGGCAAGAGACCATCATCATACGAATAATTCCATGTAGCATGTGGAAGATTATAGTCCCCAAAAAGGTATAGCTTATTGTTAGGGTTGTTTTCCATTATATGCTCAACAGCAGAACAATGATCAATATAAGCATCATGATTTAACCCTGGTGGAATGTAGACAGCGCCAAAAATAATAGTTTCATTATTGATCGACAATGAAACAAATAAATGTTCAACATTAACTGAGTAGTAAGATGTGATGTTTTATATTTACTTTTAACTAAAATCAAGACACCACCACCTCTGGTTCTTGAGCTAGTATGTATGTTCCTGTCTGTTCTGAAGACCCTGTAACCGCTAAAGCAGAGTTCATTATCCTTGAAATTATCAGTCAGCTACGACTCGCTCGTTATAAATGTACAAAAAAAAGGTAGGTATTTCGCAACTGGTTACATAAATTGCGATGCTTCGTACTGAATCGACAGTGTCGTCAAATTATTAGGTGAGAAAACTCGTTAATTTTTTGGGAACGTTTTCCATCATGAAATTTAAGCTTTCGTTGAATAGTACAAAGTGCAGGAGTCCACGAGAAACATAATGTAAGTTAAAACATAAGAAGAGCATTATTTCTTATCACAAAAATACGTATACAGTCCATGTATCTCGTACCAAAAGATTTTTTACTGGAAGGTCAACCTATTGTATGAGAAAACAAAAAATCGTTGATAAGCGGTCACCGTTAAAGAGTTTAACTGTTTAACAGTTTAAAAATCTTTGTATATTCTTAACAACCAATAAACGCCATATGGTCAACTTGAATATTATAAAAAGTAGGTACAGTGTAAATGTCAATTTATTAAATATAAATGTAGAAATATAAATTATTTTTTCTTCTTTGGAGCATTTTCTAATCCTTTTATGTACTTTTTTGGCACTTTATATTTATCTAAAAAAAAGAAAAATTCACAATCAAATTATTTCGTCAAATACAGATTTTAAGTTAACTATAGTAATTTTATATTAAGATTTATAGTGTGGCTAACCTGTTTGGTTGTATCTACTTAGGCAGACCACGTTTAATATTTATAAAAAGTAGGATTACAGGATTTTTATGAATATTTAACATTATAATACATCAACCAAAGACAATTATCTCTTATTTTAACACACACCAATCAACAGTGTTTTCACTCAATTCCGATTGGATTTAAAAATTTCTTGAAGAAAAATAGAAAAAAATCGTTTTAGTTGTTAAAATTTGGTTGTTTATATTGTTAAATAATCTTTCCAAATACAACGAGACTTGATATATTTTTTAAAATGTTCTTGTTTCCTCATAAATTATGCAAATTTCATTTAACAAAATCCTCCCTTACTTAAGGAGGATTTTGTCATGTGAAATTTAGACACATAATTGCAAAGAAACAGAATATTCTCAAAAAGTCTCACCTCTTGTGGTATGCGCTAGTTCAGTGTGATGTCATTTTGGTTCCACTGACATTTACTTCTAACCAAACTTTTAACAAAAACATCAATAAATTTGACATATACGTTTTTACTGTTTTTATTTTATTTCAAAATATTGTTTACAGGTCATAAAAAATAGTTTAAAGGTATGTAATTGGTAACTAAACGATTGTATATTTGATACATGCTATCTACTTACTTTAGGAATATATTTATAAAAGTGAAAAAAACGATATAATTTAGGTAAACAAAACGAACAAAACGCACTCAAAAAATCTACTGTCGCTTTAATTGTCAGTGGAACCATAATTACATCATCACTGAACTAGCGCATTATTCTTGATAAGTTTAAGATATGTCAGAACATTACAACGTTGCCATGTTGCAAATATGTTGAGGAGTTTTAAATAATAATCATATTTATTGGTGAAAATTTAGATCTATTTTCTTAACTAAAACCAATTTCAAAAATTTTACATACAATTTTTATTTTTTAGGTTAAATAGATATTACTGGTACTAAATAGTACTACTTATATCTCTTTACAGCAGTAAATGGAAGAAGTGGTATTTTATTTTCACGTTCTCGTTCAAAATAATCTTTTGGGTATGCAATATTTTCTTGAGATCAGCGGAATAAAAGTTTGGGTATATTAATATTTTAGACTATGCAATCATTAACTAGTGAGTTTAGTAGTCCTGAAAAGAACTTTTTGTAAGCTATTGACCAAAATTACTCTAACCTGAAACGAGTTGATTAAATGTCAAATATCGTTGTATATTTAACTGCATAAGTATTTGCAAATATTAATTTACTCCATTGGCAGCAATTATATACTAAGTGTGATGTCATCTTAAACTTACTGTAATCCTGTATTTTGAAGATGTTTTTAACATTTGATAAATACTTTAGTCGGCATGTATGAATAATTTAGTTTTACCTGTTAATAAATTGTAAACAAAAAGAACTTGGTTTCCTTGAACTAAAAGCTGGTCACACTTTTTTCCTGGAGGCCTACTAATACTTGTACTTGCAGCTACGCCATGCTGGCATTCTTTGGCAAAATCGTTTATTCGTATCCCAAACAATTCCAAATTATCAATTAGTGTCACCTTTTTATTGCCAGATCGAACTAAAAAGAATATTTCAGATACCATTAAATTTTGTTTTTAATTTTAAATGTATGATAAAAATTGATTAGAGTTATCCTTGCCTGAAACAGAAAGGGTTATAGGTGCTACTTTTCCTTTGCCTTGTATTTCTTCATTTCCTGATTTCACTTTATAACAATTTTTCATTGCAGCGCAAACTTTTTCTATGACTTCTTCCCATGCAATGGAATGTTCTGTCTTACAAATGGCTGCTAGTTTGTCTTTAGGCTTGACATACCTAAAGTATATTGATTATTTAAATTAATTGATAAACTGGCTAAAATCAATTCCAAAAATTATGTGTTCGTCACTCGGTTCGTCACTAAAAAAAGTGATATATTTGTTTTAAATTTTAAAAGGTTTACCTTTCATTCGTTTCATCTTGAAGATTAAATTCTTTTACATATTTGTTCACACATCTTCTTATTTCTGGTACTTGTACAGTATCTCCTTTGCTAAAAATAAAAAAAATATTTTAATGTTAACACTAGCACAAAAAAAAACATTAAAAAATTAGATTATATAAATTAGTCTTAATTACCTATGTCCTGCAAATAACTTCAAGACTGCTTCAGTTATTACATAAGATTCTATTACATTAGTGGACTGCACACCACCATTTTCATCGGTCTCCTTCTTGGGCCTATCTTGTGGAGTTAAATAAAATGCTTGCAATTTTGGATGATCCTTATTTATTCCCGTTATTGCTTCAACACCAGATTTAATTTCTTTTACAGTAACAATTCCCTCCTAAAAAGTGAAATGACTAATTATAGTAAATACGAATTTGCTTGACCAAAAAATGTATGCACCTCTGACATTTTCTTCAAAAAAGGCTTCAGCTTTTTGTAAGAGGTTTTCTTGATATCCAAAGTCTTGTTTTCTGGACAGACTGGAAGCATATTAAGTTTAAAAAAATTGGAAGTCAAAATAGGTAAGGACAAGGACTTTGAATATTTAATGGCACCTAAAAAACAAAATAATACCAATTCATCCATTTCCTCAACAGAATCTTTAACAGTTTCTTCAATTACTTCACTGCTTGCATCTACAGTACTATCCTCTATCTCTTCATTAAAATTTCCATCATTATTTTCAACTATATCCTCTTCATTAATAACTTTTTCTACATTAACATCACTTTGAGGTTTTGGAGTACTGCCTAGTGCAGGAAAATCATCATCATAGCTCTTCATTTTAAGCCATTCTGGTGAACCCAAGTTAACCAAAGGTAAATTAGGCATACCTTCCAAAGTACATAAATGGTCGCCATAAAAATGAACTATATTCACACACTTCCCTCTTGAATTTTCTAGAACCATAGCTCCAGAACTTTGACTTGCAGTACCAACAGCTACTGCAGCTTTATTATTAGTTAAATTTACGTAAACTATTTCATTTTCTCTGACAGACCCAAACCTCGGTAAGTTTGTGTGTGAGGGAGGTGTTATCACACCAGGTAACATGAGATCAGCTCCAGAAGATATAAAACTCATTACTTGCTGATGAGTTGTAAAGGCATGAATAATATTTGGGAACTTCCATAATAAAAATATTGTTGGAAAAAGCTTTCCATTCAATTCGAACACTATAGGCCTTTTTTGAACAGTATATACAATAATAATTAATTCACTGTGTGTAACAACTTTTAAAATGTTTAATGCTTCTTTTTTCGGCAGTAATTCGTTAAGTTCATTTTCGGTTAACTTGGGAAAAGCTTTTTGAAGGGAATCTTTAAAATTTCTCCTAAAAAATATGTTCAGGAAAAAATAGAGTAGGTAACTACATAATACATTATATACCTTTCTGTTCCTTTTGATTGGTTATTACTCTTTACCTTTATTGGCTTTTTAAACATTTTTTATTAGTATGAGACTATTTTAATCTGTTTCACGACTGTCTTTTAAATTTTTATAAACAAATATTCAAATTAATGTATGTAGAAGCCCACTGCCGACTCCCACTGAGGCCAGAGCTAAAAAAGAAGAAACGAAAAGTGTCATTTAGTGTCTTCTTATTTAAATGGCCCACAAGTTGGTAAAACGTACGTCCACTGTCAAGAGATTGCTTGCTTCTCCTTTTAAAAGAGAATAGAAAATCTACTTGAAATAGTTTTTCATGATAGAATTCACAAGGGATACTTGTGTCTGCACAAGTGTCTACAGCTCGAATCTTTTCTAACATAACTTTTTAATTGCCTATGACTTATGATGTAAAAGAAACTTAAAAGAAGAAAATAATGACATTTTAAAAAATAACTGTCAAGAGTGTCAACAGTGTCAACTGTACTGCCAACATAACACACCGAACAAGTGATCTTATTTGGAAGTTGACGATTTTTAATGAAAATAAATCTTTTTTAAAACCATTCAATACAATTTAATAAATATGGTAAGTCCAATTATCAAATGGTCACTTATTCTATTTTTTAATTTATTTCAGTTATTTGTATGATTCATATTACACCTATTAATGTCACACCCATTTTATTGGTTGTATATTTAGAAGTTATATTTATCAGAAAAATTAGGATATTAGTTGTTGATAAAATTTAATGATAATTCTATAATTGTCTACACCATTTTCTATTTCATACAGTTGATGTCTTTTTTAGTTCTCAAATATACCAGTTTATAAATGATTCTATTTATTTATTCAATTCTCTTTTTAGGGTGACCAATTCGACTGTGCACTTGATTTGATGAGGCGTTTGCCTCCTCAACAAATTGAAAAGAACTTGAGTGACTTAATAGATTTAGTACCAAGTTTATGTGAAGATCTCCTTTCGTCTGTAGATCAACCTTTAAAAATTGCTAAAGACAAGGATTCTGGGAAAGATTTCCTCTTATGCGATTATAATAGAGATGGAGATTCTTACAGGTAAAATATTTGGTCATAAATAATATTCTTGAATGATTATTCTTGATGTGTTTTAGGTCACCTTGGTCTAACACCTATTATCCCCCATTGGAGGATGGTTCTATGCCATCCGAAAGGTTAAGGAAATTAGAATTAGATGCAAATCATGCATTTGATCAATATAGAGAAATGTATTTTGAAGGTGGTGTATCTTCAGTTTATTTTTGGGACTTAGACCATGGTTTTGCAGGTAATTTTTCTCTTGTTTTTTTTTTTAATCCCATTATTTGCTACTAAATATTTTGTTGGTGACAAAAGTAAATAATTTATCTAACAATTACAAAACATTGCATTCTTAAGATATTTCAAATTTGTTAAAGCTACAGTGATATTACTATCATTTAATAGAAACGCTTTATTTATAAAGATATAAAATTTAGTTTTAAGTCATACCTAAAATAAATATTTAATAATAATACATAAGTACATAAATTTTTAATAAGTTAAATGTTGAATTAGGTGTAATTCTAATAAAGAAAACTGGGGATGGTAGTAAGAAAATAAAAGGATGTTGGGACTCCTTACATGTAGTAGAAGTTCAAGAAAAAAGTTCTGGAAGAAATTCACACTACAAAATGACTTCAACTGCCATGTTGTGGCTACAGACCAACAAACAAGGATCTGGAACAATGAATTTGGGTGGCAGTCTAACCAGACAAGTATGACATTTATTCTTAATTGAAATGTAATTTGTTAAAAGATTTTTTATTTTATTTTAACAATAATAGAGCAATTTTTTAAATTTTATTAAATAGAAATAAACACAGCTATAATACTCATAACATAAAATTTATTTATCCAGTAATACTTAAAAAGTAAATTCACAATGAACTTACTCTTTTATTGCAGTAAAATTATATAATCCTATTAATGAACCATAAAAAATAAAAAACAACTTAATAAAAAATATAAATCAACTGATTGGAATGAATGATATTGCAGATTGAGCAAGATGCAGCTGTCAACGAAATCAATCCTCACATCGCCAACATTGGTCGCATGGTAGAAGATATGGAAAACAAAATTCGGAACACACTTAACGAAATTTACTTTAGCAAAACTAAGGACATCGTGAACAGCTTGAGGTCAGTCCAACCTCTGACAGAAAGTCGCCAGCAACAAGCACTTAAACAAGATTTAGCGGCGGCCCTCCAGCGTAGACAAAACAAATCTGAGAACTGATTAATGTCGATCGCGACGACTTTTTCGAGTATGTTCGATGAAAATATCGAGTCAGGTTAAGTTTATTTAAATGGAGACTTTGGCTCTGACTGTATGAAATACAGAGTGAAAGCGAACGGTAACAGGGTGTCTACTAAGTGCACAAAGACTATAAAATGTAGTTTATCACTGTATTGCATTTAACCTCTTTGTTGCTTTTTTTTAATGACAAATGTCATTGTGTAGAGTGTATCATTAATTCTTCTTTTATCACAAGGATAAAAAGTCATATTTTGCTTAATCAGTTTTCAGATTATTGGAGATGTCAGAATACGGATTTAAGCAATAACTTTATGACTAATATCTATGGTCGAATCACTTCTTTTATTAAAATAAAATTGACAGCATTCCATTAACAATATTTTGCGATCTTTTAATTTAAAAATTGTGTTCTGATTTTAGTAGACTCCCTGTGTATTTTATGTATTTTCCATTTAAAAATAGGTCTTCAAAAAATATCCATCTTAGAGTGGTCTTAAATCATGAATTTTTTACCTGACTACCGATTTTACAGTATTCTAAATAAATTGTACTATAATTTTTCATGAAATACTTTTGTAAATCTGTAAAGATTGTGTTGCTTAAAGTTTGCAAGAAAAATATTCCGCTTTTTTGCATGATTTATTTTGTTAAATTATCGAAAAACTTAATTATTTGATTACTTTATTTAATTTATATATTTAGTTATAATTTTTCACTTTAGTAGATGTATTTTTATGGAGCTCAATTTTTTCCTCTTGTTATAATGTAAATTTCTATTACAAATACATTTTTTATATTATAAACTGTGTTCTATTAATTTGTAAAAATTAAAATAATCTTCTTTATTCAAATTATTTAAGATCATAATGCACATCAAATTAATTTACATCATGACCTATTATGATTAATTAATTGTGCATGTTGCTTTCATATTTCATGACTAGAGAACATCAAGAAAGTTTTGAAGAACAATGACCTATAATTACAATACGGTAATAGGATTTTTACATTTTCTTTGTTTAATTGGTTAGGTATAATACCTTATTAGTTTTGTGATTAGATTTTTATTTGGTCAGTGCAGACTTTGTTACTATTTCCCAGTGCCACTTTAGGAACATCACTGATAATTATAACCCACCAATGACTGATCAGAGTGGGGAATCCCGACAGTGGGATTCGAAACAGTTGCATGGAATAGATTTGAATAAACGACCTGTGTACAGGTAAGAACAAAACCCTGGAAACCCTTAAATACCTCGAGAACAGCTTACTGATTAAAATTAAATTCAGTACATGAAGAATAATAAACATTTTGGAATTAGTGGTGCATCGTCAATATTGCCAAATTTAATAGTTTTTAGCTTCTCTAACTTATACTCTCTGACCTGTTCTTCTGAACTCTTCTATTTTCGCATCACTAGCTAAAATGTCTGCATCATTAATGAATTAATTGTTATAATAATATTTTATTAACCCTGACTTATTCTATTACATTTTTTAAATGATCGAATTCAAAACGAGGTGCCTTACGAATTTTTAAATCATTGACACGTAAACAAAAAAGAAATATTTCTGGTTTATGGAATAGCCCATATCTATTACACAGAGTATAGAATTTCAAATACGCCAGGTAAATGTACCTACAGAATGCATCCTTACAAGAGCAGATACAGTTACTCTCTCACTATTGAAATTGATTGGTTGTCTAGAAAATATGGGTAAAAATAACACGTGAAACTATTTAATTATCATTCTAGTTTGTTTCTAACATAATTTTTAAATTTGGATATTTTTACAACCTTTTTGCATTCGAATTTTATAATAATAGCCATGGATGTTGAAGGTAGTTCAAATACCTTGTGTATGCCACTACAAAAAATCAGTTATGGATTGGGTCACATTTTTAACGATCTCTGTGCCGCTATGTGGTTTAGTTATACTTTATTTTACTTGCAAGTTGTGATAAACATGGGTGCAACCACAGCTGGATTACTATTGATGATTGGTAAGAATTTTATTTATAATAATTTTAAATTGAGTCTATCTAAATTAGTTCTATGAACTGCCGTCCTAAAAACATACTGTATATACAAAAAAAAAAAAAATTGATTTTAACATTTTTGTTTCAATGGGTTAGGGGAAAGCTAAATTAACTTTTTACCGAGCAGAAATGCTGTATGTTTCCAAAATATTAAAAAAACCAACATAATAATTAGCCTTTTTTGAATACTTAAGGGATAAGGAAATATCTTTAAGCCCCATTTTCTCCGCTTGATGCTCTCAGTAAATATGGCATCTGTTTGTAGGACAGGTGTATAGGTACCCACTTTTTACTTTCCTGTCTGTATACAGATATAAGGGAGTTTTTGACAGGTTTTCTTTTACTATTTTCAATGTGTGTGTGTATACGGATAAAGAGAAAAACACTAAATTTTAAACTTAAGCTTTATTCCATCCTACGGTGAACTGAATAAATGTTGGGCACAGTCGAAACATCTTGAGTGGCCACTATAGGGAGTAGTTTTTCTAGTTTATGGAATATATCTGTTATTTACGCTTGGAGAAGAAAATTCTTCAAATCAAATTTGCTTGTTATATTATTCTCTATAATTTATGTCAAATACATCATTTGCTTAAAATGGTCCGTATTCGAGAAATTCCATAAAAGTGCAAAATTCGAATTTTTAAGAAAATTGTTCAACTAAAAGTTTGCAATGAATATATATAAAAAAAATGTTTCAAGTAAGATATGTATATATGATATCTATATATTTTGTTCACTCTCCAATAACAGGGGTGATACAATAGGTTGTACAAAATAACAGGAAAAAGTCTGTAACTATATACTTGTATGTATTTAAAAATGTATTAACTGAAATAGTTATGTTTTAGGCCAAGTGGTGGACTCTCTAGCCACCCCAATAGCGGGGTATTGCATAGATTATGTACAGCACAGACGTTTATGGCATCTTGCAGGTATATATGCAATTACATTTTTTTTAATCTTTATACGGAGTCCGTACTAATTCATAGGGACATTATTGCTATTTATTAAACGGTAACAGATAGAAAGTTGGTTAAATTAGACAAAAGTTGGGCAGTTTTGTGCTCATTAAAATGGTGCCAAGAAACCTTTGATATCTACAGGGAGATTTCAAATTACGGACAAAAAATGAAAATTGTCATTGCTCTAAATTAATTCATTTTTTGTCCAATATTTTTAATCTCCCTGTAGATATGATGGTGGCTGTGCTTTTTCTTACCTGTAAGTCAATCATCTTTAAGTTGCCACGAAGCGCCACAGCAAATAATAATAGCCGTCCCTTTCCCTACACAAGTGGCTCACTCAGCTTCAGGGGTTGAAATTCACTCGTAAGGGGGTGAATTAGGGAGAGTATTATTATTATATCAAAGGTTTCTTGACACCATTTTATTGAGCACAAAACTGCGCAACTTTTGTCTAATTTAACCAACTTTCTATTTGTTACCATTTAAAAAATAGCAATATAGCCTTTCTGAGATAGTAGGGACCCTGTATATAATATTATTTAGTGATTTTAACTACCAATGAACTAAACTGACAAACTAATTTTGAATTAGTGTTACCAAAAATTTTTCACTTACCTACATTTTATGTTTTACATTCGTTATATGTTTTTCATTTTTAGGTACAATTGCGGTGGCTGTAGGATTTTCTTTAATATTCTCTTTAAAACCCAGTTCATTTGAGCCGACTACAATTGCTTATTATATTTTGACTATATCGCTTTTCCAAATAGGATGGGCTACGGTTCAAATATCGCATCTTTCGATTATACCAGAAATATCTAGAAGTCACAAGCATAGTTCAGATTTAACTGCCATCAGGTATATAACTTACAATGAAACATGAAACACTGTATAATTAAATTTGTTTAAGATACATGGCTTCAGTTTGCTGCAACATTTGCGTATATTTGGTAACATTAGCTGTACTTAAAACTGATGGTGTTACAGAAAATATAGGTCCCAATGATTTTTACAAATTTAAGGTCAGCATTAAAAATTAATTAAAATAACATGTAATATTAAAGTGTTTTTTAGGAAATAGCGCTTATCATAATTTTCATTGGGTTGCTCTCATCAATGTTGTTTTATTGTGGGTTACTGGGTAAATATGAAGAGGAAGAAATGGAGCCACTATTAAGTAATGGTCATATAGACATTGAACTGAAAGACTTAAACCCCCAAAATAATAAACATTTCCTAAAATATTCTGTTACGTATTGTGTTTCAGTCATGTAAGAATCTTTTTTTTTTTTTTTGTTTTTTTAATAATACTATTCCTAATCCATAAATATTTCTTTAGGTACATGTGTTCAAGACTATTTACGACATTAAATTTGATATATATTCCCTTGTATATAGATGAACGAGGAGAATTGAATGATATAGAAAAAGAAAGTTTGAGACAGACAATTGCTAGTATTCCTTTAACATCATACATAGCTTCTTTCGTCACATCAGTGGCTTTAAAATGTCGCATTGGTATATTAACAGATCAGGTAATAAAGTACCGTACCTACTATACCCATTTAGAATGTTGTTAATCATTTTACTAAAATTTTGCAGATAACTTACTTAATTGGATCAATAATTGGAGTTGTAGCTTCAATATGGATTGGTATTGGGATTTCATCAAACTCTGACTTTGAATTATACGCTATCGCTGCTTTATTAGGTACCAAAAAATGTAATTTAAGTGTTTCAAAATGATTTTTTATTTTTGTAACCATAATTGTAGGAATAACTGGTTCAACAACGATGGTTTCTAGTCTTTGTCTTACAGCAAATTTTGTCAAAAGCAACAGTTTAGGGGGCGGTCAAGTTTACAGCATAGTAACTTTTACAGACAAATTGATATCTGGAACTATCGTGCTCATAGTCCAACATTTGTATGTAACAATTAAGAAAATTGTTGTTAACATCTTTTTTTAAATCTTGCTAATGAAATTTTACATTTCACTATGTATGTAGCAACTTTATGTTATCCCATCTTCAGCAATTTTGGCTTACAAATTATTGATATAGTACAACTGAGGAAAACCCCACCCATCATCACCAAAATATCCCACAGGAATTTAAATGACTTCATTTTTTAGTTTGATTTAAAAAAGATGTGAACAAGGTGTAATTTTTAAATAATAATATATTTTTGTTTTTTTCAGACAATGCACACCAAGAAATTCCTGTCCATATTTTTACAAAAATGTGTTAACTTTTATTTCAGCCTCTGTATCATTAATAGCAATTGTAGCTCTGATTTTTTTATACACTCAATCTAAGAGAAGTGTGCATGTATTATAAATACTTGTTATTACTTGTCTAATTTTATAATTATAGATATTGAATGTGTGGTACTTTCTATTTAAAACAAATAAATATATATGAAAATGTATCTTTTCTTACAAGACCAATAATTAAACTACTCAAGTTCACAAAAACTGTATTTATCAATCATAACTTACAATTAAGGATAATTATAAACAATATAAACATACACACAAAATTATCATAACACTTAGATATTTTAAGAAGCAACATATTTAGGCTTTGTCTCTTGGTCTGTAACTGACCTAATATAAATAATATCCTCAGGTAAGGGATCAGGCAATTGATCTTCTTCCAAAAAGTAAGAACAAGCAATGGCCAATACTGAACCATTGTGACTGAAGCTTAGAGAGGTAACTGAGGTGTGATACTGATGGAATTGGCATAAGCGTTTTTTATTAAAACCATCCCAAATATTCACATATCCATCAGACCCGCCAGTAGCGAAGGTATTATGGAGAGGATGGAAGCTAATGGCATTCACAGGGTAAATTTTTTCCAAACCATCTTCTTTTATTCTGTGGCATTTGAATGCGTATTTTTTCTTTTGAACTTCTGGGTTTGTGTCCATATATTCCACAGCTACTCTTCCTGTAATTATATTTAATATTTATTCCTTATTGCAATATTAAATTCTGTAATTTTAGCCATTAATAAATGTTAAGATTGAAAGCAGTTCATGTAAAGGGTATATAAGTTGGCTTATATGTTATTCAAGAGTTAAAAATAGCTAGGATTCCTGTATTTTTTATAGCAACAGCTCTGAATAATTTAAGAACAAACCGGACCTCTTGCAAAAATCAAAAATATGAGAATTAACTAACAAAAAATTGTAAATATATGAGCACCGCTGGGAATACTTTACAATGTTGTGTTTAGAAAATATTGGGAGCTTTAAATTTGTGCAATGATAAGGCAGAACCCTAGAGAGACATGTAAGAAGGTGGGACCTCCCAATTTTAAAACTACTGTTTATTAAAATAAAAACCAAATTTTCATAGATTTAATACAGAATGGTATATAAATGTTTAGGAATTAAAAATTTTCAAGGTGTTCAGTTTGTGCTTATAAAATATAGTTACCCATTCAGTTAACAAAATTACCTTCAATACTGCTGAGAACAAAACCTTGTTTGTTAGGAAAACATCTGATGGCTCTAGTTTGATACTTTAAATTAGATTCGCGCTTTTGTAATGTATAGGACATATTTCTGAGATCCCATACAAGAATTCTACGTAAAGCTGTCCCTACAACCAATTTTTCCCCACAAACACTCATCGTATAAACTCTCTCCGCTTGATTGTAACTTCCACTACACATAGGAGTCCGAGGGTCCCACAGTTTAACGTGTTGGTCCCAACTTCCAGTAACAATAGCATTCACGTCACTACAATATTCGACGCATTTTATGGCATTAGCATGGGTCCCGATAGTGCTCTCTTTCGTGGAATTGAAATCGAAAGATTTTAATGTAGTGTCTAAGCCGCCACTGTATGAATGAACTGCATCAGTAAAACAACAATCCAATATAGGCGCCTCATGAGAATATTTATGTCTTAAATTATTAGCAATGACATCGTATAATCTTACAAATCCATCCCAAGAACTCACTAAAAGAAATTGGTTGTTGTTTGGACCAAATTTGACTGCTGAAATTGCACCTTCAGGTGCCGATTTTAATTTATATTCAGTTTGTGACTTCATTTTAGTAAATTTTCAGGTATTTGTTTGCTTGTGGACCGTATTTTTATTTTTAATAAACCAAACGATAAAAAATTGTCTTCTTCTTCTTTCCAATTTTTGTAGGCTTCAGCTGCCAGGGCTATTCGGCCTAATTTGTCTTAATTTTTGACGTTTCGAATGTTACGATCCCCGACTTTATAGTTATCCGGTTAGTAAATGTCAATGACTTTACCGAAGTTGCTAATTCGGAACCTTCAGACTCTACCATAAATTGTAAATAACCCATATTCCAGCTCATTAAATTTTGAAATGATCATCGAAAGGAAAAAGAAAAATTTCATCTCATATAAAAAGCTATTTATAGTGCGACTCTCTAAATAGGGCATGAATTTTCAAAATCTAATAGGACACAAAAGCAACTGAAGATTATTCGATTCAAAATATATTATGAGACGATTAAACGAAACATGCTTGGATAAAATATTACTCGTTTCCGAAATGCAGGGTGTCAAAGTTAACAAATTAGAAAGAACTTATTTTGACTATAATTTTATTTTTTAAATAAATCATGTACTCTTGTTGGGAACTCATAAACCCAGACAGCACACCAAATCCTATGGACATCTACTGGACATCTCAATATCCACCGAATGTCCAGTCCATGGTGGATATCTATTTTATATCCATGAGATGTAATTTATAGACATGCAAATATGTCCATAAATAATAGTAATTATATAGCAAATTATTAAAAAATTACGCCATTGTGGCTAATAGTACCGTTCAGATATTTAAAATTATTTTTTTAAGGTGTATTCAATATCCCATAGATGTAATTTTTGATTTTGCTTACTAAGTATAGATGGCGACACCACTTTCGCTCGTTGAATATCTACACATGCTCAACCCACCGTAATTGAGTTCGATCGAAATTGGTATCGCAATCAGTTTATTGCTAAAGAATCAGTTAGCTCACTTGGAACAGTTGAATGATCCAAAATAATATCCACTCCAGGAATACAAATTCAGGATGCGCAAAGACTGCTGTTTGAATATATATAGCGGTCGTCATATATTGTATTGGTCATGATTTGATTCTGTATGCGCCAGGGATACAAATCTGAGTTGCGCAATGTATGAACTGGAACATTGAGATCAAAAGTGCCGACGCAGAGTGAGCGAACTGATTCTTTAGCTATAAACTGTGCCATTAGAGACTGGAGTCGAGAATTTCCATTTATTGCTGAAGAGTCCTAATAAGGATATGACTTTCTCCTTGGGCAAAATCAAAGGCAGAGTGTTGAAAATATTTTTTATCTCTACTATATTTTCTTTCGACGTTATTCAATAATCATTGGTTACTTATGAACCTCTACTAAAGATACCCATAAAATATTTTGCTGAATATCCGAATATCTTCTATATCCTGGGATATAGACGGACATTTTGGATATCCATATTAGATCCACTGGATATATTAGATATCCACAAAATATATTCTGTGGATATCTCTGGGATTTCTTGTATTGTCTGGAAGATACCCATTAGATCTTTTGCTGGATATCCATAGAATATCTTCTATATTCTTGATATAGACGGACATTTGGATATCCATATTAGATCCACGGGATATTTCTGATATGCTGTGGATATATTGGATATCCACAAAAGATATTCTGTGGATATCTCTGGGATTTGGTATGTTGTCTAGGAAGTGGTTGGTTTTCAAGATATTCGCACTTAAAGGTGGATAGGACTCACTTTAATTTATTTTTATAAATGCCCAACAAAAGTACGATTTATTTAAAAGAATATCAAAAATTTTTAAATTATAGTCCAAATAAGTTGTTGGGCAATGGCGTAAAATTTAGAAGAGATGAAGATATCACTTACCCATACTGTACGCCACTGAAAAAATTTATTTAACTGATAGAGGTGTATCTTATAAAACCAAGAACGTTTGGCCAAATTTATAAAATTATACCGAGTGATAAACAATTTATAGCCATTATAATTAATGAATTTTTAAACAGTAATGCCTTCCATTTTTAAACCAAGTAACATTTTATGTATGTTTCATTTAATCGACTTATTTTTAATTGCAGAATCTTCAGTTTTTCTGTCCCATTCTTAATGGAATACCCTGTATAGTGCAAAAAGTTCACAAAAAAATGGCAGTTTACTTCATAAATTAATTTGTGTTCAATGCAGTTTAATTTGGAAGTGGCAAAATCCATTTTCGGTGTTGGAAGCTTTCACAATTCAGAATTTTCAAAAAATGTATAAAAACAAAGAGTTTACTGATTATTGCAAATGATATATTCAAATAAAATGGTCAAAATAAAAAAAAAACATACTTAAATTATATATTTAAATTCACACAAATCATGCATCAATCTCTCCTAAAAATAGTTGTTTGTCGCTAGATCCAGATAAAACAATGGGTTCATTGGGATGAAATTTAACATCATTTACACTGCCATTATGACCTGGTAGTTTATATATTATTCTTCTAGAAGTAGTATCCCAGATATAAACAAATCTATCAGCAGAACCACATGAAATTTTTGTACCATCTGGTGACCAGGCACACCTAAAAACAATAAATAGTTATGTAGGTAAAAGTTTGTTTATTAATTAGCTAGCTTACCTTAATAAGTTCTTTTCAAAATTATGTTGGTGGCCACTAAAAACCTTGACACACCTCTCCATTGGTGCATAAGGTCTGATATCCCATATCCTTAAGGAATTGTCCATTGAATTACTGAGAAGATATGATCCATCGCCACTTAAGGAAAGACCAGTTACAGTGTCTGTATGACCTTTAAGTTCATATAACACTTCTTTCGTACGAACATCCCAAACCTTAACAAAAAAATTAAATAATACAATTAAATATTGTTTAGACTTAGAGTACCGTAAGCAGGTAGGAAAAAAGTTTGACTTACAGCAGATGTTACCCACCATAAAAGTGCTAACTGCAAAATATATAACATGTTTCCTCCCACTTATGGTGCAGTAAGCATATTATTACAGTTTATTGGAGTTCTACAATAAAATTAAACAAAAATATATAAAAGGATTACCTTAATGTCATTGTCAATTCCCCCACTAAATATTTGCTCTGCAGTATCATTAAAAGCCACTGCAGTAGTTTGATAAGTTGTATTCATGCTAAAAACACTTCTTTTATTTCTAATATCCCAAACTCTAATTGCACTATCATCACCACCAGAGCACAGAAGTTGGGGTCCTCGTCTGGCACCTTGAACACAGTTGACAAATGTTGTGTGTCCTTTATATTTCTTAATTCTTTGGGAAGTTACAATGTCCCAGAGGCTTAAAGTGTGATCTGTACTGGAAGTGAATATATTTGATCCATCTGTGGTAAAATGCATTTCAGTTATAGCACCTGTATGGCCACTTAAGACAGATATGTTTTCACATTCTCCATAAACACTCCAAATAACTAAAAATATATTAAAATTTAAACTGTTTTCTTTTCAAGCTAAATACATTTATTTTATTTGAACTTTTGAAATATTAAGAAATAGGAATGCTGCATGTGTAATACAAATAAATAGTAACTTACAAATCCTTCTATCAAAACCTGTTGAAGCTAAATATTGGCCTTCTGGGTGAAAATCGACACTAAAAATTTCCCCTTCGTGTCCATCTAACTGCATAATAGGTGCGAATAAATTCGAAGTTCTGGTTGGGGCCTTAAAAACAAATTAAATTATATCAAAACAAAACGTTTCTAGGTTAACTTACAGCTTGAAGAACAGAAGTATTTTTATTTTTAACAGCCAATTCATGTTTCTGCTTCTTGCTTATGGGTACAAGAGCACTATCTTCTGCTCTACGTTTATTTTCGACTCCCATTGCTCGTTTTCTATTTAGACAAAATTATAGCATCCAGTCAAGTTGTTTATTTATGATATAAATTAACTTAACCTAAAAAACCAACAGCTGCCAATGACACTCTGTGCCAATGATATAAAGAACTGAGTAGATTAGTAGATTGTTCCATTTATCATACATTTTGATTATAGATACTGACGTCACCGTAGAACCCAAACATTTTTTTTTTCATTCGTAGAATTTTGAGTTGAATACTTGTATTTTTATTATATTATTCAATGTAAACTCAATTTGTGTATTGCTCGAAACATTATTTAACTGTTGTACCGGAAAGACTATAGGTATGTGCAGAAACAGCCAGTTTAATTTAAAAAAAAGGAACACATATTTCCAAAGATTTGGTAGACTGTTATTATTGCTTTAACGATTTTGCTACTGCTTTTTTATAAGGATGATAAAATTAAAATGAAAACTCCGCTGGGTTTATATTTCTTTTATTTTAAAAATAAATATTGTACTCTAAAAAATATGCCAAAGATTTTTTTTTAATCCATCAACCTTAGGTTTTTTTCGTTCGCTTTTAGAGCAGTGTCCACCAGTGTATATTACACCAACTTATTTACCTAATTTAATTACTCCTTATACTCATGTCGAGTGTATTTTACACCTGCTAAATAGCTGGTGGAGAAAATATCCACCCGTGGACACCACATCGCCGACAGGAAGGTGTAGTAGATTTCTCCCAGGCCTAACGAAAGAACCTCTTTATTACCGTTACGTATGAAGCACAATAACAAAGAGTATACAATACATTTGAACCATATTTCAATAGATGCGAGGTTCTATCGTGACGCCAGAGAGCCACCTTTAGGGCTCCCTTGTTTAATAGTATGTAATTCCCAGGGCTGGTCCTGCAGCCTAGGCATTCCAAATAAAATGGTTGCCTGGTCGATTTGACAAGGTCAATGATACCTAAAATAAGCCCATGCATCAAAGTAAAAAATGTAGGTAATTAATAAACATTACAAACATCTAGGCAACCAGTATTATTTTCTTGTATTGTTAGTTGCATATCACTTTATTGACAAATAGAAAATCATAGTTTATTCTCAGTGACTTGTAGTGCGCTTTTATTGATTATTCAAGTTATTTAGTTTTGAAAAAAGTGGGTTATTTTGTCGTATATTGTTTTAATTATTTTGTACTGGCTTACGCCCGTATGCACCGTACACGTTTAATCCAGATCAAGGGTTTAATCGCTTTTAGTACCATTTTTAGCTATGGTACTAAACGCGATTAAACCATTGATCTGGATTAAATGTGTACGGTGCATACGGGCGTAAGAATATAAAATAAGGACCAAAACAAGATTATTACTAGGTTGTAAGTTTAGCCAAATTCTATTTTTATAAGTTCTTCTTTAATATACACTTTCAATAATGTATATATATATTGATTTTAAAATCAAAAAAGGTTTATTTTTATTTTTTTTTTTCGCAACTGGTGACTAAAGTACCCAAATCTGTATCATGCAGTTGCTAGCTAGCAAGTGGCTTGGGCCAAGGTCAGTCGTTGTTACCACTTTGAAAAAATCAGAATTCTCTAAAGTAAAATTTATAACAACTAGTGGATTTTAGGTAACTTAGAAGCAATCAAATCATATTTTTTTCTAATAATTTGTTTTAGGAATAAAGTAAGACTTCAGAAAAACCTATTTATTGCTTGTAATCTGTACCTGTAAGGTGTTCCCTTTACATTACTTAGGCATTGTGCATCCTCCAGATGCTGCCATTCAGGTGAGATGTCTATAGGGATGACTACCTCTCAGATTGTTAGAAGGCCTGCTTGAGATAAAATTGCATAATACATTTTGCTGTATTACCATTTCCAAATGATAAAATATCACTTCACTTGACGTCCCGGCCAGTGGCGGCTCGTGACAAAAATTTTGGAGGTTCACAGTGACAGAAAACAGATATCAGTACAGATATATGAAAAAAACTTTCGATGTTTTAGAAAGTTTATAATATACCTTTCTAAAACTCTAGTTTTTTACCTATATCTGTACTTACATCTAATATTCTGCTACTGTGAACTCCCAAAATTTTGGTCATAAGCCGCCCCTGGTCCCGGCACTTCCGACTCAAAGGTTAAGTTGTTAAAAGCCTGATCTACACCACACTTACAAGTTGTATAATTTTTATAGCAACATAAAGACTTTGACAAAAGTAGCTATTCTAGTATTCACGGTCGCTATAAAGTTGTACGTGTGGTGTAAATCAGGTTTTTATCTTAACCTTTAAATCAGGAGGGACGGGACCAATGAGGATTACCTATATATCCCGGTCATGGACGTTAAGTGAAATATAATTTATCATTTGGGACTTTTTATATTTAATATGCAATTTTATGCAGACCTTTTGATGATCTAAGAGGTGGTTCCTATAGAGTGACGTTATATATCATCCCCCAGACGTTTTGAAGAGCTGAGAGCAGGCAGGTCTTAAATTCCCCTGAAGGATGCACAATGAGACTATTGAGGCCTAAGTGACATGGAGGGTCACCTCTCCTTACATATACAGATCGCAAGAAATAGTATAGCCTTTGATGATATCTTCATTCCTAATCAAACCATCAGAGAAAATAATATAGGTATCTATTTAGTTCTGATATCTATCATTCTATCAGTAAATATACCTTCCATTAATTTCTTGGTCTATTAAAATATTTATTATCCAGGGTTCATATTATATTTCATTTTTAGCAACTGTTTTACGCTTAACCATCAAGAATATTTGGTCGCTTCCAAATAACTCTGAATCCACTTTTGTAAGCACTAGTTACAGATTTTTTATTCTTTCTTCACAGACCTTTCCTTTTATATATTATTTCTTTTTCTCGAATAATTTGGATATGATGTTGTCCAATGGTTTCGCACACTTATTTATTCTTTGCCATTTTGCTCCTTTCCATAATTTGATTATGTATTCTTTTTATCAATTAATAAATAAGATAGGTGGTGGGTGGGTGAGTGGTTATAGTCTAGAATTCAGGATTAGGATATTTTCTAATTAATTTGTTATGTTCTAATGAATAGCGCTGGTCCTAAAGTGGCACTAGGAAACAATAATAAAGTCGACAGAGAACGCTCAATAATAAAAACTCAAATTGATACTGGTTAATTGGGTAGTTATTACCAAAGCTATAAAAAAATAAAGAATAAGGTAAATTTGAGTGATGAAATAATACCAACCTTAAATAAAATTGTCATATTATAATAATCTTGATCCAACAACTTAAAAAAATCCTAAATTTACAGTTTCGTTTTTTGATTAAAAGCAGAAAGTAAACAAAGCAAATTAACAGATTTAGTTAAACAATGTATTAAAAAAATATTCATTTAGAATTATTAAAATTTTGCTTTGTTTAGTTTACTAACCTTTCATAAAACATCGGAGAAGTGTTTGCAATTATAACAATTCAAAAAAAACAGTTTTAGCATAATTCATTAGTCCGTAAATGAAATATTCAAATTGAACTTCAGTGAATTAACCTTGATTTCCTATAAAAAAAATATTCTGTAGTACAATTCATTCACTGAAACGTCGATGTGAATTATTAGTTCCTCCAAATTCTCCACGCACTACACAATTTACAAAGTAAAACGATATAAATATTTTTATACAATATATTACACTGCCGCAAAATAAATATACAGGGTGTTCCGCATAAGTACCTACATAGAACAGGTGCGTGCTGGGCTCCCCACAATATGATGATATAAAGCAATTTACCTCCTATACCGAGTTGTGCACCTAAGGAGTTCCACTTTCATTAAAGAAAGATCACTGAAGTAGATTTGTCCCTCTCCAGGGACACCATTTTTTACAGCACTGAATGGATGAATTTTGACATTTTTTATTAGCAATTTAAGAAATATGCAAATAGAGTAAATAAACCAAAAACATTATTTTTTTTTACTAAAATTAACAGATGCATACTTCAGTTACTTAGTGTACCTCTGGAGGGACAAATACACTGAAAGGGTTAAGTGGGGCCAAGTTTACTTAATTTTTCTTATATCATTATTAGTTTTATTAAAAGTAAATGCTATTTGTTTAATTTAATTAAGAAATGCATGGCCAACAAAGTTTCAAGTGATTTTTGTGTTAACATTGTCTTAATGCATCGATTTAGTTTACGTTTATTACAAAATAAAAACAGTAAGTTTTAAAATAAAATTTTGCATAAAATTAAAATTTTAAAAATCGGCTAATGGACAAAAAAGTTCTATATTTGTATCCCCAACTAGTCATTGATAAAAGTGTATTTGTTGTGGAGTCAAGACCTAAACCATTCCATCTCTAAATCGAAGTGAGAGAACCGATTATGTTGCCATAACTTGGGCTAGCTCGAAATCATCCACTAGCTGTATTGAAAACATGCATAGGCGTATCATCAACGATTTTTTTATTCTTAATTATCAGTTTAGCAGATATTTGTTTTCTAAAGTACCGGGTGTCCAAATAAGACAGGACGCCAGTTGTCGTTGTCTGCAGAGCTGTCAAATAATTGAATTAAAACAGTTGAAAATTTAATTTAATTACTTTTCAGTAATTGAATTACTTTAATTCAATTAGGTTTTTGAAACTTTAGAATTAATTAGTACTTCAATTACTTTCTAGATAGTAATTATAATTGGTAATTACTTTAAATATATTTGATTAATTGAATTATTTTTTGAACAATTTCTTTATAGTAATTCAGTCATTTATATTCTATTTCAATTATTACAAAATATGCAAATCCCATTTAAAAATTGTAGAAAACTGTAGTGAGTTACTGCTGTCCGTTTATTTGTGGTTGGCTTATATTATGCAGTTTTAACTAGTTTTGGCGTAACTTTTTTATTTTTGATTATATTTGTATGCCGCTTGAATTATCCAATTATTAATCAACTCCTGTAGTGCGGTATTAAATTTATTAAAAAAATAGTTTATAGTTAAGCCAGAACAACTTTTCTTATCTTTAAAGGTTGTGTTAGATAAACTGGATTAAAAAAAAATATCGATGAAATATTGATTTCCAGATCTAAAATTAAAAAGTGCAT